TATATTATGATGTATACTTGTTTACCATGCGTTTAGAATAAACAATAGTAAGTAAAAACATTTTAAAGCATTGCAATATCTATTATTTCCAAATTTTATATATATGCTTTACATGGAGGGTGGGCAAAAATAGGTTTACAGTTGTTCATATGGAAAATTATACAATAATTAATAAGTAATAATACAAAAATAAACTCTGGTTCGCACACTCATGACTGTAAACCTACTTTTGCTCCACCTGGTATAAAACTAGCTCTTTTTTTCTCCAAGGAGAAAAAAGTTGTTTCTTTAAAAAATATAAAAGTTAACATAAGCATTGATGTTGTTCAGAGACACACAAACATTAGCTTTAAAGAAAAATGCTACTACTTTGGCTCTGAAAGCAATAAATCATTGATATTACCACCTCAGGAGCTCTCACAGAATTTAAAATGCAAAGAACTTGACAGAAATTACTGCCAAAAAGAGTCCTGGTCAATATCTAATCATCGTTTAGTTGCATTTGATTATTGTGAGCTAGATAAATTGCCAGAGTTATATGTAGTAATAAATTCCACTTTATTCTCTACATCATCTATTTCAGTGGCTGCCAATTCTCTTAAATGAACGTCTTCAAACTGGATCCTACTGTCTCCCAGTTGCCTTGGAAAAGCTGCCACCCAACTACTCCATGCATTCTGCAGAGGTAACCAGCAAGCTGGCCGTCAGCTGTTTCTTGTCCAGCCGTGATCTAAGACCACCTTCCCAGATCCACTTCCCAGTGCCTTCAACAGGACTGAGGATACTCAGCATGTGTTGGGGAACAGTCATCTGTCAGCATACAGTGTTTTCGGGGAACACATGGGTCTGATAGGATGGGGAAAACAACTAGCCATGAAAAAACATTCATTTAGACATCACCAATTCAGAACGTTTAGTAAATGCAGCCTGCGCCAGAGGCAGTATTGCCTTGCAAAAAGGGATTCACAAATAATGTAATGTGAAAGGGGAGGCAAATGGAGCCCACTTTGGATAACAGCTGCTCTCAGCACAGATCCTTATAAAAGGTTCCTGGGCGAGATTCCATCAGTTTCTCCTATGGGTCAATTGTCACTGTCCCCAAATGGATAGTGGGGTTTTTATTCCTTTGCCAATGCCAGTAGCCTTCCCCTCCCCCTGTTTCCTGCACTGCCTCTTGCCCCATTAGAAGGGAGCCCAGTGGACTCGCCATTCTGACCACACCCGCACTGCTCTCATATTCTCAGTCTGGTTGGTGAAGGTTTATTTCAATAGTAGTATTTTAAAGAAAATCCCAGACATCATAGCATTTCATCCTATATAATAAAATCCTAATATGCAAATTGACCAAACAGCGGAATGACTGGTCGCTATGACATGCACTGACTCCCAGGGGGCAGACACTCAATGCAAGAGCTGCCCTGGTGGTCAGTGCACTCCCACAGGGGGAGCACTGCTCAGCCAGAAGCTGGGATCATAACTGGTGAGTGCAGCGGCGGCAGTGCTAAGGACCCCTCAGGGGATGTCCACGGGAACGGGCCTAAGCCAGCAGTTGGACATCCCCCAAGGGGTCCCAGACTGCAAGAAGGCACAGGCTGGGCTGAGGGACACCCCTCCCCACCCCCACAGTGCACAAATGTTGTGCACCAGGCCTCTAGTTTATACATATTCTATTATGCATCTTCAAAGATAAGGGCTCTTTTTTTAACCATTGTTGTATCTTAAAATTAATAATGCCTTAATATCTTCAAATATCCAGTTAGTAATCAAATTTTCAATGATCTCATTAATGCCATATTTTTATTTACAGTTGTTTGTTTGAATCGGGATCCAAATAAGGTCCATACATTGCTATTGGTTGACTTGTCTTTAAGACTCTTAATCTGTGGATCCCCTTTCATCTCTTTTGGGTTATTTATTATAATAATTTTCAGGTTGAAAAATTTCCCAGGAATTTTAATTTAGTTCCAACCTTAATAGTCAACTTTCTTTCCTACTCTGACTACCCATCCATCATTCTCAGGCTATTCCATTTTTCTCTTATTTCTCTTTTTCTCTGAAGAGAGAATCTTTCTTTGCCCTGGGCCACAGTCGTGTGCCTGGCTTTAGACCAAAACTGCTCTCCTCAGAACCACCTGAGATCACCCTGAGTGTGTTCACAAACATGCCCTGATTACTCTTATGATTTGGATACACAGGCCCTTCTGATGCCCTCACCGCCGCCTTTTCATCATGCACATTCTAATTCCTTGGAACCCTTAATTATCTTCTTAATGCTGCAGAGCAAACCTGGGTTTTAGGAACAAACAAATTTGGATCCAAAATCCAGACTCTGCCACTCCCTAGCCATGTGAACATACATGGGTGAATTGCTTACCCTCTCTGTGTCTTAGCGATGAAACCTCACCCATACCTGCCCATAAGATTGCTGTGAACATTAAATGAAATAATGCATATCAAGAAACAAACTCTATGCTGAAGTAAATATTATATTTTTTCTTCTTGCCCCAAACTATCTTTATAGATATACCCTCAGCCTGAAGACTTAATATTGTCCAATACAGTTGCCACTAGTCATGTGTGGCTATTAAAATGTGGCTTGTCCAGCCCAGCTGGTGTACCTCAGTGGTTCAGAATCAACCTGTGAATCAGGAGGTGACAGTTCTAGTCCTAGATAGGCCACAGGCCCAGATTGTGGGCTTGATCCCCAGGGGGGGGGGCATGTAGGAGGCAGCCGATCAATGATTCTCTCTCATCATTGATGTTTTTACCTCTCTCTCCCTCTCCCTTCCTCTCTGAAATCAATAAATATATATACATTTTTAAAAATAGGGCTTGTCTAAACTGGAATGTAATGTAAGTATAAAATACAAACCCAGCTTCAAAGGCTTAGTAGAAAAAAAAGTATGTAAAATATATCATTCATAATTTTTATAGTGATTACATATTGAAACAATAATATTTAGGGTATATATTTAATAATACATAATTAGATATAATAATCAATACTCTTTAGGCTATATTTAGGCTATATATTTAAGCTATCTATATTAAAATTACTATCATATGTTCCTTTAAATTTTTTAAATATGGCTACTAGAATATTTTAAGTGACATGTGGCTCACAATATATTTTTTAGTGGGCAGTGCTGCTTACAGTCGTAGGAGGCAGACTCCAGTGTCCCCAGGAGTTGGACTCACTGACAGTGAGTGCCGGGTCCTGGTGGACTTTGTTCCCGCTGGAGATTGCCCACTGAAGGTCACAGCTGCTCCTCCGCCCCACAGATCAGTGGCATTCTGGGACGCACGCCCAATGTCTTCATATCTTCTGGTTCTCAAAAGAAGTTAGAAAAATAGGCCTTCATGTGAAATTTTTCTGACTTTTAAATGTTGGCAACAAATTCGAAAAAGTTTCCAACACTGAGCCAAACGGAATTTGTCCATGGGCTGGGTTCAGCTTTGACCTGTTTGTGACTCTATCTTAGATATTTCCAAAATTACTCACCCCGTCCACATATTCTACCCTTGTAGATACAGCAAAAAAAAATCCCTGCCAAATGCAAGAGATGTCCTGGCCACATTGCTCAGTGGTTAGAGTGTCGGCCTGCTCACCTAAGGGTCAAAGGTTTGATTCCTGGTCAAGGGCA